AGAGGAGGTAATTCTGACTTTGCTATGACAATGTGGCGCTTCTGAAGAATCAGCTACTGTTTTTTTATTAGTTTAAGTATTTGCTATTGACTGTTCAAATGCGGAGTTTTGCACATCGTGTGTGCGTGCGTGCGCGTGTGTGAGAGAGAGAGATCGAGAGAGAGAGATCACAGTGGAGTCAGCTGTCTTAACCGTGGCTTGTGTACTGCAAACACATACCAGCTTCATCACTGTGTCTGTCACACGACTCTGTTCCCCTTTCGCTCTGACTTTACATTTATTTTGAAAGATGAAGCTGCGATTATGGTAAGGGGCGTTACATTTCCGACGAGTGCTTGCGGTTTTCGGCCAATCACAATGCACTGGGTCAGCTGGCCAATCAGAGCAGACTGCGCTTGTCGGAAGGAGGGACTTTGTAGAAAACGAAGCGTTTGAGAGAGGCGGGGCATAGAGGACCTACAATAATATACAGTATTTGAAAAATAATGTGTTTTTTGAACATTAAAGCATGTCAACATATTCTGTTACACCAAATACACAAAATAATGATCTTTAAAAAAGCATCATATGACCCCTTTAATATAGTGCTGTTCTTGTTCTTTGGTATAACAACACTGTTCTATATTTATCTGTGTGATTTATTTGTATTTGCTTTTTATTTGTAATTGTAATTTTATTTAAATTTTGTATTAGTTTTTTTTTTTTGCTACTTACAGTAATTCACCACATGCTCCAGGACAAGGCATGATTTAACTTTTTTGCAAATTGCTGGGGATTGCTAGATCAATGTCATTTGAATGTATTTAATAAATGTATTTAAAATGTGATTTCTTTTGTAATTCAGGTTTAGTTTTAGCCTGTGTGTGTATTTGTGTGTGCATGCTGTCTGACAGCTATATAGCACGCTGCCAGTGAGAGAGACACACACACACACACACACACACACACACACAGCAGCATCAAGGTCACATCGCCTCGTCACCATCTCTCCCCTTCCTCGTCTTCACCCGATGAAAGGATGTGTGAGAAACATTAGCATTAGCTCGTAGTTTAGTGTTCGGTGTGATACTGTGATTATCATGACTTTACACTGACCTGCAGCATCTACAGCTCTTCTGTCCTGCTTCACACATGCCCCTCCATCCTCAGTGTTTGACCACCAGCATGAGTGACCCTGCTCTTCCCTCGCTCCTGAACTCTCTGAGCATCTCCGGCCTGTGTTTATAATCCGTGTCTGGCTCTGTGTCCCGCAGGCAGCTGTACGCCGCAGAGACGTCCTGTCGGCTGCAGGACAGAGGACGGGACAAACTGAAGGACGGAGGTCAGCAGCCCAACATGTCTAAAGAAGAATACATGAAGATGATGCTGCCTGAAGACCCTCCTGGAGAGAGCGGCCACAGGAAGGTACGTGCATGCTCATGCAGAATAGCTTTATATTGCACACTACAGTACATACTGAGATCATCTTCACTAGATTCAGATACTATGGTCATCTCTTTACATGCTACTCCAAGAATACCATGGTAGTACCATAGTAGATGTCCAGCATACCATGGAAGTATGTTTGTGCTTTATTGGTAAGTGCTTCGAGACATGGTAATATGGTAATACCATTTCTTTGGACATGATACCATGCTAATACTATGACATTTAGCAAGGTAATTATGGTTCTTACTTACCATAATGATATATTTTTTAGACTTGGTAATATGCTGGGGGTTTTTGGCATGTACCATGGTAATACCATGTTTTGTTTTTTTGAAAACGGACCGTGGTAATAATACCATGTTTTTTTTAAATATACGATGGTAAAACTTTTTTTTTTAGTATCGTGGTAATACCATAGCGTTTCAGATATTTACATTGATAGTACCATGGTCTTGGGCATTTTCCATGGTAATGCCATGTTTTGTTTTGTGTTTTGAAAATACCATGATTTTTAGACATGATACTATGTTAATATCATGTTTTCTAGACATTTACAATAGTAATATTTTTTTTCACTTACCATAATATGTATTTTTAGATGTGGTAATATTTGTTTTTTATTTTCACTGTGTACCATGGTAATACCTTGTTTTTGTATTTTTTGGTTGTTTTTTGAAAATGGACCATGGTAATACCATGTTTTTATAGATGTATGGTGGTATTTTTTAGACTAGTTCTATGGTAAAAATAGATAGATATATAGTAGATATATGTATAGACGTGTATCTTAATAGTACTATGAGTACCATAGTAATACCATATTTTTTGACGCATCATATTTTTAGACATAATAATAAAATGTGCTTTTGACGTGACACCATGGTAATACCATGTTTTTTAAACAATTACCATGATAATACCATAGTGTTATGCACTTTGATAGTATATTTTTCCAATTACCATGGACATTTTATATAGCAATATAATGTTTTGTTTTGTTTTTTGAAAATGGACCATAGCAGTACCATGTTTTTTGGAGATATACGATGGTAAAACAGTTTTTAAGACAGTTACCATGGTAATACCATAGTGTTTTATATATGTACCTTGATTATACTATGTTTTTGGACATTTTCCATGGTAATACCATGTATTGTTTTGTTTTTTGGAAATGGACTATGATAATACCATGTTTTCTGGCGATGTACAATGGTAAAACTGTTTTTTAAGGCAAGTACCATGGCAATACCATAGTATTTTAGATATGTACTTTGACAATACTGTTTATGGACATTTAGCATGGTAATACCATGTTTGTCTAACCGTAGTAATTCTTTGATTTTTTTTTTTTTTTACTTTAATACCATGTTTAAAAAAACTTTATAAAAAGTATTACCTTTGAACTATTTACCATAGTAATACCATGTTTTTTTTTATGTACAGCATCATAGTATAACATTGGTATGTTTTTTCGACATACTACCAAAGTAAGAGTTTTTTTATTGTAATACCATGGTTCTAAAGTAATACTTTGTACTGACATTTTTTTTACGTTTACCATAGTAATACCATGTTTTTTGGACATGATACCTTGGTAATACCATGTTTTTTTAGACATGAACCATGGTAATGTTTTTTTACATTTTTTTTTTTTCAGAGTGTATCATGGTAATACCGTGTTTTTGAAGATGTTCGATGATAAAACTATGTTTTTTAGGCAAGTATAATGCCATAGTGTTCTAGATATGTACCTTGACAATTCTATGTTTTTGGACATTTGCTATGGTAATACCATGCTTTTTTTGTCATACCATAGTAATGCATTGATTTTGTTTCAACATAAAGACTGTGGTTCACTGTGGTATATGTTTTTTTTTTTTTACATTTACTATAATACCATGTTTTTAATGCACAGCATCGTAGTGTACTGTTAATATATTTTTTGACAGTATCAGTACCATAGCAATTTTTTTTGTTTGTTTAATACCATGGTTTTAAAGTAATACTTTAATTTTACTGTTTTTTAAATATTTCCAATGGTAATACCATATTGGCATATTGACGTATTATAGTAATAATGGATTTTTATAGTTATTTTTGGACATGTACCATCAAAGTACCATGGTTGTCTTGGAGTACCATCTTAAATACTGTAGTATATAAATATTGTGATTATTCTGTACCGTGGTATAAAGTTTACATGCACTTCCTGCTGCAAATAATGCTTTTCCATTAGCTATGATTAGTACTGTTTGTGAATGTGGTCTCAGTCAGAGCCGCGTCTCGCACACACACACACACACACACACACACACACACTCTGTAGTGCTGATAACCTCAGTGTGTGAAGTGAATGAGGGCTGAGCAAACATGTGTTATCAGCCGGAGACACGATAACACGCGTCTGGGTCCGGACAGATTCTGTTTGGCTGATCTGATTGCTGAGCTCTCGCTGCGTCTGCTTTCCCTTCATGTTGTGGATTAACGGGAGGAAGTTGTTGGAGGAGCGTCTGTTTCTCTGAAGTCCCCTCTGCTCCTGGAGACTGTCTTAATTGCATTTGGAGTTCCGGGGTCTCTCCCACCGCCCGTTGCATCGTTGCTAGGGTGTTGCTGTGCAGTTGCTAGGGGGGTTTTGTACTGGTTCAAATCAACAGAGCCAACTGAAAGTCTCTGATATTCTGGTCTCTGGTTTCTTGGGTCCCCCATTTAATGCTTTTTATTATTATTTGTCATGCAATGTGATAAATGCATTTTTAAAAATGCAAACATGTGACCCTGTCTGTGAAATCCAGGCTAAAGTCTCAGAATCTAATTATGAGATAACAAGCATCAAATTTTGATTTCAACCATTAAGTTCACCATGATTTCAATCTTTGTCATGGCCTTACTCAGTCAATATTAAAGATATAAAGGTTATATTTTCACAGAATGTTCTACATCTTTATAAAGGATGATTTTATGTAGAAAACAGTAAATCACAAAAAAATGACTTTAGCTGGGTTTTCACATATTCTGTTTAGCCTCTAAATTGATAGTTGTCATAACTGCATACATAATGTTTATTAATAATCATAAATATTAATATAAATATACTGAATATTATTAATATAAATACATTAATATTATTAATTTGTTATTTTGAATTAATAATAATCAAATCCTAAAAATGTACAATTACAATAATTAATTTGAAAATAAAAACAATCCAAATAAAATGCTTAATAAAAAAGATGAAATATTTTGTTTAACTGCATGCTGTGTGATCATTAACCGATATTTTAGTATTTTTATACACTGTTATATTTTTGTTGTTCTAAATATTTAGAAATATTATGTTTTCTTAAATTCAAAATATTAATATTTTAAATTAGCTTTAATTTTTATATTTAAATTTTTAGTGGTCATGTTATGTGCTTTTGCCAATTTTATTAGTTTTTGTTTTAGCATTGCTATTTATGTTTCATTTATTTTTAGTTCAGTTGTATTTTTTATTTATTTCCAGTTTTATTATTTTAGTGCTTCAAGCTACATTTATTTCAGTTAGTTGCCAAGTCAACATTTCTAATTATTGTTTAGTTGAAAATGTTGAATTTTTTAAACACCAGATGATGAGCCTCACTCATTGAGGAGAGGTGATTCAGATGATAAAACAGGTGTAGAAAGGACACTCGCTTTTTAAGATCTTTATTCTGTTGTTCTTGTTGATTGTGCATCTCTGAAGTGTTGTATCTAGTTAAAGAGTGTCTCGCTAATTATTGGTCAAAAGTTTAGAATGATTAAGATTTTTAATGTTTTCGAAAGAAGTCTCTTCTGCTCACCAAAGCTGCATTAAATGTATATAAAATGTCATTTTAAATGTTCACGGCAGGGTTATTATCATTAACTAAGACTATTAAAAAAACATTTTGTTCATTGAAATAAAGCTAAAATAAAATATAAATATTAGATGAAAAACTTCAAATAAACAACATTGAAATGTTGACTTGGCAACTAACTGAAATAAGTTTAGTTTGAAGCACTAAAAATTACCAACAGGTATAACTGGAAATAATCTAAAACAGAAACATTCTAATAATAATAAAGTAAATAAATCCAAAATATTATTTCAATAAAAAATAAATAAAAATGACAAAAGTATTTAACAAAATTACTAAAAATGAAAATGAAAACTGGAAATATAAAAATAAAAAATATAATAGTAACTAAAATAGTTACTAAAATACTATTATAAAATAGTTATAATAGTAACTAAAAAATATAATATAAAAAGAATACTTGGATGGTTACTGGTCACACAACCTAAATAAAATATTTAATCTTTTTTTTTTTTAAGTAAGTTTTTTTTATTTATTTTTTTTTATGTAATTGTTCATTTTTAGGATATAATTAATTATATTGTTAATTGATATTAATAATGTATAATGTTTATATTAATATTTATAATATTTTATTCATAAGTATTTCTAACTATGATGTATACAATTATGATAATGATCAATTGACAGGAATATAAAATGCATTTTTCACATTGCAGCACTATTTTAAATCTAAAACAATAACAAAAACACATTAAATGAGCAACCCAAGAAACCAGAGACAGGGATGTCCGAGACTTTATCAGAATATCAAAAGCATTACAAATTTTTAATTTTTCCCATTTTTTCCAAATCCCTCTTTTCCAGATGAGTAAAAACAGGGAGTTCTGTAATATCTCAGACTGCCTTTGCAGTGACAATACACACAAGCCATATAAAGCCTGCTCTCATTTCTTTTTTTTTTGCTTCTCAAATCCCGTTTGAGGCGAGAGTACCAGACCGGATCTAGTCTTATGAAGTTGCATGTGTGCAGGAGGCCAGAGAGAGAGAGAACTTCTTGAGACTGGTTCATGGTTGCGTGATGGGATTTGTGTGGGATCCTGGTCTAACGGAAGTGAAAACAGAGGGCCGCTTTGAGCCCGGAGGCTTTTAGCTCTGCTGAATCCCATGTGCCATGACGTCTGCTTTCCCTGCAGTGATAGCAATTCAGCAAACTGACGTTTTGGATCAAGTTTCAAATAGTGGAAGACGTATTGTGTGCTATAAATAAAATGAACAGGATCAGGCAGCTCAGCCTGGAAATGAACCGACTTCCTCTGGCTCACGCTTTGAATGGAGAACATATACAATGTATCTAAATAGTTTTGGCAAGATTTAGCTCATGGGTATGTGTTTAACTTTGTCCTCGTGCCATTTGAGAGATATTTTTGATATATAAGACTATAAGTTTGTTCCAAAACCTACTGAGCTCCCTATCTAGGTGCCATCTTAAAGCAGTGTGTAATTAAGATTTTTAAATGTTTTAAAAGAAGTCTCTTATGCTCACCAAGGGTGTGTTTATTTGTTAAAACATACGGTAAAAACAGTAATATTTTGAAATATTATTACTATTTAAAATAGCTGTTTTCTATTGTAATATATTTTAAAATGTAATTTATTCATGTGAGTCAAAGCTGAATTTTCAACATCATTACCTTCAGAAATCATTCTAATATGCTGATTTTGATGAATAGAAAGTTCAAAAGAACAGCATTTATTTGAAATAGAAATATTTTGTATCATTATAAATGTCTTTCCTGTCACTTTTGATCAATTTAACGCATCTTTGCTGAATAAACATGTATTTCTTAAAAAAAAAAAAAAAACATTAACTGCACACTTTTGAATAGTAGTGTATTTTATGTTACAAAATAATTGAATTTAAAGAAAAAATACTGTTTTGCCAGCTTTTTGTGTGTTTTATGTATTTTAATGCCTTTAGGATATCATGCCGTTGGTTTAGTAACATGCTAAGGCCATTGATAGTCGTAATTGAGTGATTTGTGTGAAAACTGTTGTTTGTATTGTGCATGGATTTGTTGCCCATGTAAAGCATTCACATTATTAATTTATGATGCTCCATTTCAGCTATTATGCTGCCTGCATAGATAGTAGACATTAAGGATGCTTGCTAGGTTTTAGAACACAACCAATGTTTGACTTCTACATTTCTGCATTTGGCAGACGCTTTTATCTTACATTGCATTCGTTTTATCAGTTCATGCATTACTTGGGAATCAAACCCACAACCTTGGCGTTGCTAGTGCCATGCTTTTCTGTTTAAGCTTTAGAAACACTTGGATGAGCACATGCCTTCAGGTGGACTTGAAGACTCACTAGTACATACTGGTTATTGAACATGTGATTGAACAGAGCCGCTCTTATCCCTCTCATCCAGCTGACCAAATACGGCTCTGCTTTAGTCACAAGCGGAAGAACAACAACACGCTCTTGTCATTCCTCAGCAGTGCAGATAAAGAACAGGCTTTATTTATAACATCCTGCTGTTTAACGACACAAGACTGTGAGGATTTTCCATTCATTCAGTCCAAAACTAACCTACTAACCGCGTCCTGCTGGGAAAGATAGGAAAACCCTGGGACTATTCTGGGACTTTGATTGCACATGTACGTCTATGTGTTTTATTAGCAGTAAAATAAATTAAAATGCCAATTTTCAGGTGTTAACATCCATTATCTGTGATTGACGTCTGTGTGTGTGTCTCTTGTCAGGTGGCGGCGGCGGGCAGCCCGTCTCCGCGGCGTTCCCTGTACCGGACTCTCTCAGACGAGAGCGTGTGCAGTAACAGGAAGGGGTCATCCTATGCCAGCTCGCGGAGCTCCATGCTGGACCAGGCCATGCCCAACGACATCCTGTTCAGCAGCACTCCACCCTACCACAGCACCCTGCCCCCCCGCATCAGCCTCAGCCAGCCCACATCCAACCTCAAGAGTGAGTGCTGCACCCTCACCAGACATCACGTCTGTCTGTCTGTCTGTCTGTCTATCTATCTGTGTATCGTTCTGTGTATCATCTATCTATCTATCTGTGTATCGTTCTGTGTATCGTTCTATCTATCTATCGTTCTATCTATCTATCTATCATTCTATCTGTGTATCGTTCTGTGTATCTCTATCTATCTATCTATCTATCTATCTATCTATCTATCAGTCTATCTATCTGTGTATCGTTCTGTGTATCGTTCTATCTATCTATCGTTCTATCTATCTATCTATCGTTCTATCTGTGTATCGTTCTGTGTATCGTTCTATCTATCTATCGTTCTATCTATCTATCTATCGTTCTATCTGTGTGTCGTTCTGTGTATCTCTATCTATCTATCTATCTATCTATCTGTGTATCGTTCTATCTATCTATCATTCTATCTATCTATCGTTCTATCTGTGTATCGTTCTGTGTATCGTTCTATCTATCTATCGTTCTATCTATCTATCTATCGTTCTATCTGTGTATCGTTCTGTGTATCTCTATCTATCTATCTATCTATCTGTGTATCGTTATGTGTATCGTTCTGTGTATCGGTCTGTGTATCTCTATCTATCTATCTATCTATCGTTCTATCTATCGTTCTATCTATCATTCTTTCTATCGTTCTATCTATCGCTCTATCTATCGCTCTATCTGTCTGTCTATCGTTCTATCTATCGCTCTATCTATCTATCTATCTATCATTCTATCTATCGCTCTATCTATTTATCTACAGTGCCTTGCGAAAGTATTCATACCCCTTCATTTTTTTTACATTTTGTTATGTTGCTGCCTTATGATAAACTTCTTTAAATTACTTTTTTCCACATCTATCTACACTCCATACACCATACTGACAAAGCAAAAACAGAATTGTCACAACTTCGTAAATTTATAAAAAATAAAAAAAAAAAACTGAAATAAGTACATTGCATAAGTATTCATACCCTTAACTAAATATTTAGCTGAAGCACATATACAGCCTCAAGTCTTTTTATGTTTGATGCGACAAGCTTTGCTCATCAGCATTTTGCAATTATCTGCCATTCTTCTCCTCACCTGTTCACTTCAGTGTTATTACAGCATTGCTGATGGGAAGGGATTTTGGAAACTTAAGTCACACTTATACATGTTTGAATGTGGTCAGATGCTTCAGGGTCTTTTCTTTTTCTTTAAGCTAAATTTTCATATTAGTGTGTTGCTGATTTTCAGTGGATGTATGAAGTCGGTTGCATTTTCCACGTTGTCACAAGGAACGCTATAGTAGGGCTGTGCAATAAATCGCATGTGATTGTCATGCGCATCTCGTCAGTAAAGCCGGTTCCGTGATTAGTAGTAAATCTCCATCACCTGCTTTCAGATGGAGCAGCATTTACTACACAGAGCCGTAGTTCACTGACAATTAGGCAATATCGCGTTCATTATCGCAGACTGAATTGCCTGCGATAATGAACGTGATATTGCCTTGTCAGTGAAGTAAATGCTGCTCCATCTGAAAGCAGGTGATGGAGATTTACTACTAATCACGGAACCAGCTTTACTGACTTTTACACGCTATAGTGTACATTAGCCTTAACAATCATCTTGATATCATGACGACTACTGTTAGAAGAGAATCATGCTGAGATAAAGTTAATTTAAAGTTAAGTTTAGTTGACATGTTGCCATGTTTATTGCAGCTAATAATTACGGAATAACATCTGGATTCATGCCCCAGACAGCATTTCTATTGTTTTATTTAAAATCTAACAAACTCAGATTGTTTTGCTTGAAAAAAAGTTTTGCTTAAATTGTGTTTATGCTAGTGTGTAATGAATGATGCATGCTTTTGGTGTTATGCAATATTTATTGTTATTATTGTTTATTATTATCATCTTTCTATCTAGCGATCAGTGATCGGCCTCAAAAATCCTGATCGGAGCACCCCTAGTTATTATTAATACACGCATTATTATAAATAGTAATTTATAAAAAAGTAATTAAATACATTATTATTAATTGCTAATAATAATAATAATAAAACATTTTTAACAATAATATAAATATGATTATAATGTTTATTATCTGATTTTTAAGGGTGACTTAACTCTCTAAAATACTTTTAATCTTCATTTTAATCAGCATATCTATTGTTATTTAAAATTTAACAGGCTTCTTTTTTCCACATGTTTTGCATAAAAAGAGTGTTTGTGCTATTATTATTTAATAACAAAGAAAAACATTTATTTAGATATTTTGTGTTCTAATGCAATAGTATTTATTATTGTTTATTATTATCATTTTATTTCAATTTTTATATTTTATAGTGTAAAATATATTAATGTTTTATATTGTATTTATATAAATAATATTAATATTAATTAATTACATGTTTTCTACATTTTTATATAATTGTATTAATCATTAATTATTGTGTTACTTTTTTAATAATAACAATAATAATAGGGAACCATAACAATAATATAAATATTACAATTATTAAATATCTGAAATTAATTATAATAATATTTTTATCAGATTAAGTGTGGCTTAAGTCTCCAAATATGTTTTGGGTCCACGATATGAACCCTAATTGAAGATATTGAACTGCAACCGGTTGTCTGTAGTGGGGTAAACCTTCTCTAGATTTGCTGCAAGTGACACATGAAATAAATGACTTATAAAGGCGCAATTACACACACCAGAGCAAACAATCACATCTCATTTGGTTTAAAGGATGTGTAATATGAACACATTTAGCAGCTTTAATCAAAGTGTGAGAGCTGATTCATTTATAGCTGGTTTTTCGAGTGGCCCAAGGAGGCTGATGCTGTCACGCCTGATACATTTCTGATTGTTTCGACAGATAGCAGTTTGCGGATTTTTTCCTCACCCTGCTCATATAGTGAACGCTCTAATTTGACAGATTGCATCCCTCTGAGGCTCAGAGAGACAGACAGAGAGAGAGAGAGAGAGCGAGAGAGAGGGACATTTACCTCCGGTGTTTCCCCTCACATCATTCTCAGAGCCAGTTCTTTGTGAGATGGAAATGTTTATGGCGTATCCTGTCTATCAGGGAGAGAGAGATGTACAGAGAGAGGTCTGGACGCATGCAGTTGATTGAAAAATGAGGCCATGTTTTAGGAGCTCCTGACGGCTGCAGCTCCGCTCCTAAACCCAAACGAGTCTGGACTTAAGACTTAAGACTTCATCCGCTGACAGGACGGCTGTCCAACACGGTGCTGCTGCATAAAATTACTTATTTTTGCTTTTAAGCAGCATTGCATGTATCCTTAGAAGAGAAATGTGGATTATAAACATACTTACATTTCACTCGATACTGAAAGGGATCAATAAAAAAAATTTAAAGTAGTCTAAATTGACTATTTCACCCGATATTTGTTTACAAAACATAGATTTATAAATATATATATATATATATATATATATATATAATTGATTTTACACACATCATTATGTTTTAACGATAATAATAATATTATTATGAGTTATTATTATTATTATTATTATATTTATTATTGGATTTTTAAGTGTGACTTCTATCTAAAAATACTTTTTATCTTTATTTTGAACAGCATATCTATTTTACCCTATATATGTTTATTTATTTATAAAATTTACAATATATATAACTATGAATAAACGAAATATATATGTTTATTTATTTATAAAATTTACAATATATATAACTATGAATAAACGAAATCATTTTATCTAATAACTAATTTGATCTAATAATAAGATCTAATAAAGATGTATAAAATTTCTAAAATTGAAAATTATATAAACATACACACAATATACTGTATATATTACTAGAAGTGTATATATATATGTGTGTGTATGTGTGTATTATTACTTCAAATATGCTATACTGCTATATAGACTATAATATACTATCATTTTATCTAATAATAATATTAATAATATATTAATAATTGTATTCACAACTTATAATATAAGAATATATGTAATAATTAAGAATATAGTAAACATTTAACATTCTTAAATTAAAATTTTAATATAAAAAAGTATGCATATGTTCATTCAAAATGTTGAGGTCAGTACGTTTTTTTGAGACATTAATACTTTTATTCAGCAAGGATTCATTAAATTGGTCAAAAGTGACAGTAAAGACATTTATAATGCTACTAAAGATTTCTATTTCAAATAAATGCTGTTCTTTTGAATTTTCTATACATCAAAGAATCCTATATATCATGGCTTCTAAATATTGCCCAAAAATATTGGGCAGCACAACTGTTTTCAACATTGATAATAATCAGAAATGTTTCGTGAGCAGCAAATCAGAATATTAGAATGATTTCTGAAGATCATGTGACACTGAAGACTTGAGTAATGATGCTGGAAATACAGCTTTGCATCACAGAATTAAATTACAGTTTACACTATATTAAAATAGAATACAGCTATTTTAAATTGTAATAATATTTCACAAATTTACTGTATTTTTTATCAAATAAATGCAGCCTTGGTGAGCAGAAGAGACGTGTGTGTCTGTGTGTGTGTGTGTCTGTGTGTGTGTGTGTGTGTGTGTGTGTGTGTGT